CGCGGAATCGCTCCCTAGAGGGAAAAAGTGCTCCTTCCCAAGTTCCGCCTTGAGATGGCAGCGCCCCATCCCAAAAGTCCTCTCCTTTTTTTCTAGGTCAAAAGACCTTATGTACCAGAAGATGGGCACCCGAGGTGAGCCGAGGAGCCCACTACCCACCAGGGCGCGCTAGGGGGGCTGGCGCACCCTGGTGCCTTGGGCAGCTGGGTGGCCCCCTCTGGAGTTCTTTTCTCCAATATTTATTATATATTCCAAAATAAATGTCCGTAAAATTTCAGCTCATTTGGAGATGTGTAGAATAGGTATCTCTGACATAGCTTTTTCGGGTCCAGAATTCTAGCTGCCAGTATTCTCCCTCTTTGTATAAACCTTGCATATTATGGGAGAAAAAGCACTAGAATTACTCCATAAATTGTTCTAATGCATAAAAACACTATAATAACAGTAGGAAAACATGATGAAAAATGGATGTATCAGATGCCTCTAGCATAACTAAGGATTCTAGTCCATCCACACCTATTGCTTTGAACCTTGATCAACATACTTTTATTTCATTTACAATCTAAGTTTTTTTTACGTCCCTTGCAATCATTACTTCCAAACACAAGCTTCATTAATACTTGCAATTAGTGACGCTAATAAGACTGACAATCTTACTAGTTTCGTTGGGGCTGAGGCAAATTTTGTAAATGTGTGTGCACGTACTGATCATCGGTAGTTTTGCAACACTCATATTGGTTGGGCATCGCAGAACGAAATTGTTAGTTGCTACAGACCTCTACACTTGGGCCCCCAACACCTTCCTAGATTAGAGGAAGCAGTCACCACTTGCACGCGATGGCATAGGGTTTGCTACCTTTGCGTTGGATTCTTCGACAACACGAGGGACAAGGTAACGACCTAGTGGTGGTGTCCGGTTGTCGGGGTCGTAGCAATCTTTGAAAGCGACAGGTCCGCCTTCAAATGGATGCAATCGAACATGGGGTTGAGGCACCTCCAATCCATCGTCGACGGGGACTGGAGACGCCCAAAATGGGCTGAAAACATATTCACTCCCTTTTGGTTTTGGTAATTCACGTCAACATACATATTGTTGGACTAATGTTTTCCTTGCGTATATTTTAGGAGTAGTTCAACTTAGGCAAGTACATGAATGGAGATGTGGACCCCTCAAGCTACTAAGGAACAATGTTAGCAAAGCTTCAAGACTCTACGTTTTTGGTTAAGTGATCCCAGATCACATTGAGTCCATAAAAAAGCCAATACTATTAAAAGGGAATGAGGTTTTGATCATAGTCTAAATACTCAAGTGCTTAGAAACATTGCTAAAACTGCCAGTCACACTCTCACATTCATCTATGTCCAAAACCCTAAACTCAATCTCGGTCCCACCGAAACACATACAGCCGGACCTAGTGAGATACACTTAACGTAGCCATTGCCTAAACCATAGCAACTTGGTCTCAACGAGATGACCCTTTGGTCCCACCGAAGAGCAGTTGCCAACCTTCTGTAACCAATTGATTTCATCTCGAAATTTTTGAGTGGTTTCGATCGGTCTCACCAAAGTGTGGAAAGTGATTAGGTCACCACCCATAGGTCTCACCGAACTATTCCATACGGTCTCACCAAAAAGCGTAAAAATCAAACCTTTTGTACAAATCAGTCTCACCGAGTGTTTTCACCTGATCCCACTAAGTAGTGCATAAAGGTGTGCAACGGTTAGATTTTTGGTGTTGCCTATATATACCCCACCCATTCCACCAGCTCTCAGAGAGCAACGAGGATGAAGCCACCACTGCCCATATCCAATTTCTGAGAGAGAACCACCTACACTCATGTTGAAATCAAGGGGATTCCTCCCCAACCTTTGATACTTGATTTCTAGCCTCGCCAAATTGTTTTCCACTCAATTCCTCTCCTACCACATAGCCAAAATCTACGAGAGGTAATTTGGGTGTTGAGGAGACTATCTTTTGAAGCACAAGAGCAAGGAGTTCATCATCAACAACAACATCTATTACCTTTTGTAGAGCGGTGTCTCCTAGATTGATATTGTGTCACTTGGGAGCCTCCAGGCTTATGGAGTTGAACCGAGGATTTTGTACGAGCAAGGAGATCTCCTACTTCATGAAGATCTACCCCTAGCGAGGCTATTCCTTCGTGGGCGTAAGCCATGATGGCATAGACAAGGTTGCTTCTTCGCGGACCTTTATGGGTGGAGACCTTCATAAACTCACGCAGTCGTTACCCTTAGTGGGTTGAAATCGATCTCCATCAACATGGATGTACGATAGCACCACCTATCGGAACCACGCCAAAAATCACCGTGTCTTCATTGCGTTTGATCTTCCCAAAACTCTACCCCTTCACTTTCTTGCACTTGCATCTCATTTACTTTCCGTTGCCCATACTCTAGATATGCATGTGTAGATTGTATTGCTTGCCACCTAACTTGTGCTAAAATCTGCCTAAATACCAAGTAGATTAAAAATTGCATTTTTTGCCTTGTTAGTGTCTATTCACCCCCTCTAGACCTATCCTTTCGATACCTCAGGGGTCAAAGGCGGCGCTACAACTAGGGAAGGGAGGCGGTGACATGGTTGGGAAGAGCATCGAGAGGGGAAAATCTCACTCGTGCCAAACCAATTTCCAGATGGAGTGCACTCCAAATATCCTTCACAACCACCAAATATGGAGGCTCGCGGGCTCGTTTTGGAGCGCCCTCGAAAAATGGTGATTGAGGGCATGATGATGACTCTCCTAAAACGGCCTTTTCGGTCAAAATCGTCATAATGAAACTATTATGGTGATTGAGCCGATACGATGACTCTGCTAGAGTTGCTATAGTGTATGGTAGTTTAGTTTAGATTGTAGAAAACCAACATGGTGCAAACAATAGTTTTATTTTATTTCAAAAAAAGAGAGTGAAGGTGGAAGGACCACAAATCATTCATAAAGTACCTCTCAAGTCTCAACACATGGGGAACACCATGTGCAAAGTGTAACCCGGCAAATAGGCGCCAAAAACCTGAACATCAACGCCGCAACGACACCATCCTACACTAGGTCATGTTGCGGCGGCCATTCCACACCCTCGTCCCCATGGGCTATTTATATCGCTATGGCTAATGACATGGATAGTGTTTCTCACCGTCAAAGCGTTTTGCACCGTTGCAACATGGACGATGTTGCGGTCACAACAAAAACTCATCTGTTGTTGGTCTGCGTCCAGACAGAGTTGTGCCGAGCATGTTGCAAACGCACCATGGACCATGTTGCGTTCATCTCTAGCTTGGTAACATCCCTCCTGATGTTCACATCGCAGCGTCAATAATGTTTGAGAAACTTTGGCCAAGTCCACACCGCTCATTGGAACTGGCATTAAACGGCGGCTACCCCTTGCAACACCGGCCACAATCCCTTGCATCACTAGTGGTGGGCGACAAAACACTAGCGAGCGCGGGCAAGCAGTCTTGCAGCGTGTGATGTCCCCCGTCTCCCCTTGCAATAGCGATGCCCCGCGGCGTGTCTCCAATTTGGTTCCCCCTATTCGCAGCAAGGGCTATGAGATTGGGATGTGGCGACGTGCCCGTGGAGATGGAAGAACGAGGAGAGAGCAAACGGGAACGAGCGGGGAAACAAGACGCGTGGCCGAGAAATTTCTAGAGGAAAAGGAATGTGCGGGAAGAAGCAATGTGTGGGCCCCAAGGATGCGTGGCGTGCGACTCGAGGCGGCGGGCGCGTCACGCGTGACGTGCTTTCCCACAAATCATACATAAACCCTCAACGAAATAAAGAATGACACCACCTCTCAACACGTGGAAAACACCATGTGCCAAGTGCAAACCAGGCACTAGGGCACCGCAGCAGCACCGTCCTAGACCGGGTCCACAGTGCGTCGACGGAGATGGAAGATAGGGGAGAGAGCAAAGGGATCGACCGGGGGAAACAAGACGTGTGGCCGAGAAATTTCTAGAGGATAAGGGAGAAACAAGGGGCGGCGGGTTGAAGCGGTGTGCGGGCCACGAGGGCATGCGCGACACGTTTTCAGCCGGTTGAGTGTACGCGTTTTCTCACAAATCATACATAAACCCTTATAGCAAATAAAGAATCACACCACCTCTCACCACACGGAAAAAACCACGTGCCAAAGTGCAAACCGGGCGCTAGGCGCCAAAAAGGCAGCGCCGCGGGGGCACACCGTCCTGCACCGGGTCCACGGTGCGCCGGCCATTCCGCTCCGGGTGGCTATTTATAGCGCTCCGACGAACGGCCCGGATAGTGGACGCCCCGCCCCCAAACGAATCGCACCCGCCTGCGCCGCCTTCTCTTCTCCAGCGTCGGATCTTCCCCCACTCGCCGCCCTCACCGCACCTCCATTCCCCTCCACCACCTTCCCTCCCTCCACGCGCTCCTCTATATAAGGTACGCCTCCCTCCTCCCCTCTCCTCTCTCCCCCCGCTCCCGCGCTTCCGGCCGACGGGGGGCTAGGGTTTGGTGCGCTGATGGATCTGGTGGGGTCGCCGCCGGGGCTGCTGTGCTGCAGGGGGAGGGCCGGATGTCGGACGAGGCGGCGAGCCCCCCGGGCGGCGGCGGCGGCGGAGGAGGCGGCGGCAGCGACGACGGCGGCGGCGGCGGCGGCTTCGGCGGCGTCAGGGAGCAGGACAGGTTCCTGCCCATCGCCAACATCAGCCGCATCATGAAGAAGGCCATCCCGGCCAACGGCAAGATCGCCAAGGACGCCAAGGAGACCGTGCAGGAGTGCGTCTCCGAGTTCATCTCCTTCATCACCAACGAGTAGGTGCCCCTCCCCTGTTTTGCCTGCCTTAAAAGTGTGGTCTTGTGCTGACCTGTCGCCGTTTTGTTTTGTCTGTCTGTGCTGCAGGGCGAGCGACAAGTGCCAGAGGGAGAAGCGCAAGACCATCAACGGCGACGACCTGCTCTGGGCGATGGCCACGCTGGGCTTCGAGGAGTACATCGAGCCCCTCAAGGTTTATCTGCAGAAGTACAGAGAGGTGTGTGCCCATTTAGCCATGTGTGACTTTTTTGTCTGAACTAATTGGGGATGGATTAGTGGTTTGGGTTTGGGAGTTAGGTAGGCCCGTCGCTAGTTTAATATTTTGCTGCTGTAGCGTGAATTAGCTCTGTTTGGCACTTTGGTTAGTCCTACTGTCCTGGAGTAGTTGGCAAGTTTAAACACCCCTATTCAGCTCGGTGACTGAGGACACCCCACACTGCCTGGCACCAATCAGCTTATTGTCCTTAGAACAGGTGTTGCTTTATCCTTCCAATTACTGCCATTCAGATCTTAAAAAAATTCTTTTTTGTACTGTTAATTCAGATAAGTGAATGATTCGAAGCACTAAGAATTGTCTGCGGAATCCAACTATTAAAATGAAGTCTTTTATTCAACTGGGACATGCATGCGAACACTACTTTCTCTTGTGCAGGCCCCAGCTATTTGACCCTGGTCAGCAGCAATTTAGTAGATGTAAACTTTATAAGAGAAGTTCAGAATTTGTTAAAGAAGTTACTGAAAGTTCCTTGCTTAAAGCTATGCATCATACTTACAAGTCAATAAGTCATACATAATCTAGCTTAAAGAATAAAGATCTGATGTCCATTCAATACTTCTTAACACAGCTTAGATTTTATGCATGGCCATTGGTCACTGTATGCTTTTTATCCTCCCCTGTTTAATCCAGTTTATCCATCTGACATGACTTATCTTGGTTTTCTTCTGTTTGACGGATGGCTGTTTCTGATTGCAGACGGAGGTATGTGTATATCAAATTTGTTTTATACGTTAAAAATGTGTTCCCTCCTTGCATGGATTCCTCCTATATCTTTTCATGTGTTCTTTGCCATTTACCCACAAAGTTTTCTGACTATTAAGTCTTAATGGAAGTTGGAATCACTGGAAATTGATCATTTGAGACTTTGAGCTATCCCATCCTGTTCATATCGTACTTGTATCATTTGTGCAATTTCAACTGACCATGTTAATTATTGATGTACTAGGATATTTGTATAACCTAGATAGGCTGGTTTATTTATGAATTTTGTAATTACATGACCTGTATGCATTGTTTCTAGGTTACCAACTGAACAAAAAAGATGCATATATAACACAGACTAATTAAGGAGAATTTCACAAGCTTCCCCACTGTGTTGACCATTTTATGGTTGTTCTGTTGGCTTCTCTGACTGCTTGGTTCTTTTGTTCCCCATGATGCTTCTTTAACAAGTACTCCCTCTGTTCAGGATTACTTGTCGCAGAAATGGATGTATCTAGATGTATTTTAGTTTTAGATACATCCATATCCAAGACAAGTAATTCCGAACGGAGGGAGTAGATACTTCTTACTAGGGGTAGGATATTGATATGATTCATGATTTATTGATTGTACTATAATGTCTATACAAATGAGAGGGGTGACAAATATGACTCATCTAGTCATCTCTTCTTCTGTCAATACTTGACAGGGTGATAGTAAGCTAGCTGGGAAGTCTGGTGATGTCTCTGTTAAAAAGGATGCACTGGGTCCTCATGGAGGAGCAAGTGGCACAAGTGCGCAAGGGGTTAGTATGCCTGTTTTCTTATTTATTTTGTAATATTGCTGAAAAACTGAGCTATGTGCGTTCTTTATAGATGGGCCAACAAGTAGCATACAATCCAGGAATGGTTTATATGCAACCTCAGGTGATTATCTTAAATATGCTTGACAATGTTTTAGTCGGTTGCATAATATGGCCTGGACTTGATGTTTAGCACGAGTCTAGCAGAAAATAGTCATGGTTGATGCATGTGAGACGTCTCTCGTGGTTAGGTTGTAGTTAGACTCAGCAGCTCGAGAAACTTTGTAGTTTTTCTAGATTCAGCAGCTCGAGAAACTTCTGTTAAGCTGCTAGGCGTGCAAATGTCAGTTCCACTGATAGTATCTAGTGATAACTGTACCATCTAGCTGCCGTGTCCAACTGTTCATGTTCCCATACAACTAAGTAATGACACCCTGTTCTCTGCAGTCTGCAGCACTATTAGAGAGAAACACTGCCATACAAAAGCAGTACTCTTTATTTGTTTCTCCAGTTAATCAAATCTAGTGGGTTGCAAAATCTTGCACGACATGGAACTTTATGAGCAAGTAGGATTGGCTCACGCATCCTCCATGTTCATGTGTTCCTTTTTTGGGTTGGTTTATACTTATAATCTGGGCATGTCGTAGTGTAGAGGCACTCTTATCTTGGCTGGGAAACCTAGATGTGTTGACAATGCACAAAAACAGGTTTATTTGATGAGGACGCAAATATGACGTGCCCAACTAAGTTTTATCTGTGCTATTAGAAATGCAAACCTTTTGGATATGTTTCATTATTCTGTTTGACAACATGTTTGTATGCGACGGAGTATCTAAGACTACAATTTTTGTAATGTGTTTTTCTTTGGTACGGTGAACTTGTTCATTCGTCAACAGTCGAAATAGTTTAATGTAGTTGTGTTTTCTGACAATTCTCTTTTCCCTTGTACAGTACCATAATGGGGACATCTCAAACTGAAGATATGGACCATCTCCGAGACTGCTGCTACTCTGCTAGGTATGTATCACCCCTACATACACGTCACTGAATCATATAATATTGTGATCATTATGAAATGTCTGATGCATTTCTAATATGTAGGCGGGTTTTCGTCATGTGGAGAGCACTAAGCAGTTAAAGAAAACTCTTAGTACCCCCATTAGTCTCGTGTTGTTGGGTCTGCCAGAACTGATGCTCCAAGGCTGCTTCCCAGATGTAAATTGCTTTTTCCTGAGAATAGATTCAGTTGTGGTTTAGCATGGTTGTTGTTGTTGTCTGTATATTTATGATGATTAGCCTCGTCGTGGCTGTCATTCGGTTCCATATAATCTGGGTATTTGGGGGAGACATAACTCCTCCAGGTGTAGTTTGTCCTGAACTAGCTGTATCAGACTCTTGAGAAGAGTTGCTTTTAGTCCTTCACCGACTCCCATGTGCTAAGATCGCTCTTGAGACGAATGCATTTTGCCCCTCCTGCTGCCTGCATGCCACAGCGCTTTTCTTATAGACATCTGGTTCACCCATGCGGATGATACTAACCAACTTCATGTCACTTACCCATACAAATTTTGATTCAACACAACATCGCGGACTCCTTTGATTCAAAGGAGTTTCGTAGGATTTTTGAAGGATTTGGATCCTTAGGTTTTTTTTTTTCTATGGTGACTCTTTGATTCGCAGGATTGGAATCCGTACTAATTTATTTCATACGACTCATTTGTACTATGTTTTGAAGGAAAATTTCATCCACCCAAACCTCTTGATATTTTTTTTTTGGTTTTTCCTGTGCTATCAAACGCACTTTCATCCAAAATCGAGTTCTTGTAGGATACAAGAAAACATGATATTCTATTCCTCTGTGAATCAAAGAGGCCCTTACCAGAGGCAAACCAGGCCAATTACAGCAGAATTAGAGCTTTACATGCCAGCAGAAGGTCCAAACCGCTTTTCGGGCCTAGATTCCAAAAACATACGGATAGCACAAAAATAGGATTCCTTATAAGAGATTTGAGAGAATGCTAAAATTTTATATACACTCCTTTGATTCAAAGGAATTTCATACGATTTTTGGAGGATTGGAGTCTTTCGGAAAACTTGGGCAGGTGATCCGACATGGTTCACACTGAGCAAGTTGAGGTAAAGTCGGGTGAAGATCAGTCTCTTACATTGGTTGAAGCATGTGCCCATGGATGTTGTGACCTTCTTGAAGGCATCGACAGGGTGCTCTTTCTTCCTCTTCTTGAGACAACTCCAAGGGAAACCCTAGACCCACCTGTTCCCCTCTTGAGGGCATCAATTTTGGAGTTCGATCCGGCTGAAGGGACCAGTAAATGTGTTGGGAGGATGGGTCTGGCATGATGTCTCATATAGCAACGACTGACTACATTGAGCTGTTGTGGCGGGGTACGAGCAACGACGATAACATGCGATGGGCATCTGGTTGAGGGAATCCTCTGCGGCACAGTCCTTACACATCTCTCATTTGCGCGTTTTCAAAATCGGAGTGGCCTTGCCACTTGCGAGTTTTTATTTTTTTAGGCAATCTCGCTAAGTTTTTATTCAACCGTCACCATTGTGGCAGAGACGAACGGAAGACCATGTGGCTGTCCTAACCAAGCACAGCGGCCAGGCCCAATGATAAAGCGAACTTCGCTAAATTGGGCAGCTATTTGTGAGTGTGGCCGGTTGTTTGGCATAGGCCGACGTGGGCTTTGGGCAGCTATTTCAGTGGCCACCTGGTGGCTCGTTGGTGCTTCAATGTGACGAAGTCGGTGTTGTTTGGTCAGGAAAAAGCGATGAATATAGCTCTTGCGGACAACCTCGACGGTGGCCTTCCTCTCGATAGTGCATGTGGGTAGACAGGCCGGCCAATTGTGTCTGGTGTAACGGATTTCACCCGGTTTTCAACAGGCCAATTGTGCCTTGTGTTTCGAGGCATGTTGTAACTGGTTTCGCTACCAACAAAAAAAAACGATTAACGTATGAAAACTTCATAAGGATTTCAATCCTTCAAAATTGCTACTGAAAATTCTATGAATCAAAGAGGTCCTTCATATCTTCAAACTCAGCCATTACTATCCAACAACCTGACCAATTGGCCACAATCATGAAGAAGTCCAGTCATAGATTCCGAAAGGACAGAAAACAATCTAAATTCACCGTATTGTCTCTTATTTTCTGATCTACTTAGAATTCTATCATACGAGTACATCCGTTAGAAAGTATGTGAGCGCATTGCTCAAACCAAAAGCACAGCAAACCATCAGGAATAAACATGGCGCGAGTCAAAACAAGCAAAAAATGTTGGCCACAAATCAACACGCAAGCAGAATCTGTTAGAAAAATACAGGAGTCACGATGGAAAAAAAGAGGGGAGAAACGAGCTCCAGAACACAACCAGTTTACAAATGACAATCCATACAAGAATCATATGATGTCCCAGCAGATTCAACCGACGGGGCTGCTGACAACCCGACACTAAAATGTGCATACGAAAGAACATGGCTTTGCCTACCTGATTCAGGATGCTAATTAACCAGATGGAAAAGCCGCACCAACCGAAGTTCCGCAACAGCTCCGCTTTATGGTTACACCAATACCCTAGATGATTGATGAAGCTTATGTGAAAGGGCCCAAATATATGCTACAGCCTTAGCTAACCTAACAGCGGTGCGATGCTAGGGTCAGACAGACTCCCGCCTTTTCCTATACAAAACATGGCATCCTGATGGGGAGAACCGGTTGGGCAGATAGATTACCTTGATACCGACAGAAACAAGAATTCGCCGTGAGCTAGCTAGCCTTTCTGTTCAGTTGCACCACCTGCCCATCAGCCGCCTATGCCATGGCGTCCTCCTCGGCTGTCATAGCTTTCTCATCTGGCGCTTCGACCGTGGCACCCTCTGCGTTTTTCTTGGCTGTCGCAGCTTTCTCATCCCGCGCTTCGACCATGGCATCCTCCACTGGTTTCTTGGCTGTTGTAGCCTTCTTACCTGGTGCTTCAGCCGTGGCACTCTCTACAGGTTTCTTGGCTGTTGTAGCCTTCTTACTTCGTGTTTTAACACCGACACCCTCTGCAGTTTTTCCAGTTGTTGTAATTTCAGCATCAGCTGCTTCGGCAGTCGTTTCACCTTGTGTGGACATACCAGCAAGTGCTTCAACAGCAACTCTCTCATCTGGTGAATCGCCTGTGGCTTCACCTACACCAACCTCCCCACCCGGTGATTCAGCAGCATCCCTGTTTTCCATTTCATCCCCTGGTGCCTTCCCAAGTGTCCCTGCAGTAGCTTTATCTTCTACAGTTTCCTCAACTGGTGCTACAGCTTCTGACTCCACAGCTCCCTCAAACACGACTTCAGTCATAGTTATCTCTTCTGCAGTTTTTCTGTCCACATTGGTGTGTCCACCTGATGCATCGATTACATCTTCCACTTGAACAGTTTGCTCGGGACAGCTGACTTGTTCCGGTTCTATTTCAGCAGTTTTGGGTTCCACGATTTGCTTTTTCAACCCAGCTTCTTGGACTGACACTTCAGTTAGGTCTTGAGCAGTGTCCCCTTCTGCTGCTGTACCCACGTGTTCGACTGGTGTTTCTGGTTGAACTTTTGAAGTGTCGGGTACAGCATCTGATGGAACTTTGACTTGCTCAGTTACAACTTGATCTACAGATTCTTCAGTCAATGCTTCATCCTCCAGCTTCACATCACAAGGAATTTTAACTGCATCTTTTGGAGCTTGATTTTCCATTGTTTGCTCAGTTACATCAGCTGTTGCAATTTGGTCAGATGGCCCAGTTAGCTCAGCAGCAATTTTTCCTGCTTTCTTAACAGCGTCAGCTTCAGGTTGGCATGCTTGCTGGACGGTCTCAACTTGTGCACCTGATGATTGCTTTACAGGTTCAGCTTGGCATGCTTTCTTGACAGTCTCAACTTGTTCACCTGATGATGGCTGTACAGCTTCAGCTTTCTCAGTTTTGTCGACCTGGTTATCTTTCACAGCATCCAGTGAAACTTTGGGCTCACTTGGACCTAGAGAAAAGACATCATCACATGGTTTAAGCATGCAACATTGTTTTAGTTGTGAACTAGTAACTTTTTCTTAAGATAAAAATAGGAGTGTTTACCAGGAAGCTTTGGGCCATGATCTCCAGGGCATGCCTCAGATTTATTCGGTTCTGACTCTCCTAGAGAAAACGGCATATTCACTAGACGAAAACTACGAAGCGAGGGACCAACAGTGCCATACTTCCCAGCAGCGTTGAAAGCCTTTTCAGCATCAGCACGCTTCTTGAACACAATTTTAATAGTATTTGTGCTCTTTTGCACTTCACTTTCAGATTCTTTTAGTGGGCCATAGCGACCGAATTTCTTGATCAGATCATTTCCTGAGAGAAGATCAGTTGACCTGCCAAAGCTTAAAACAAGTGCAGTGGGCTTCCACTCGTCGACTATCTTTTCGTCAACATGGATAATTGATCTTTCTATCACTTGTATCTGCTTCTTAGGAGCCACTTGTATCTGTTTCTTAGGAGCCACTTGTATCTCTTTCTTAGGAGCCATCTGCTGATCCTGTACAGAGGACAAATCTGTTTCATGTGATGACTTGCGCCTACGCCTTGGCCTCGTGTTGGTAGAAGCTCTTTTGAGGCTATGAATCGGGTGATTAAGCAAACTCAAACCAGACCAGTAGGAGTCCTGCATATGATCAGTAGTCTCTAGCTCAGGAGAAGGCAAAACCCTCTTCTTTCTCCTCCTCTTTGATGTACTTCTTTCGATAATGCTTGCTTCAGTAGCAACAGAGACAACATAATTCCTGAAATCACTGAAGTAACTGATTGTCAGTGCCGAGAAGTTGTATCCATCCGTTGGCTCTATGGCAACCGAGCAAAGCTGAGAGAATAACTCCTTGGGGTCCGCAAGGTGATGGCTATGCAAGCGTCTCCTCTTTGCGCACTTTTCCACAGTAAGTTCATTCGCAGC